TTATTTCACTTATGAGTATATGTTCAAGTGGCATCCAAGAAGACAAGTCTTAATGGTCATTAAAAATCTAATATCCAATACCACAATCTTAACAGGAGATCTCAACATCCCCTTATCCCAAAAAGATAGTTCAAGCAGACAAAAAATTAGCAATGAATTAGCAGAACTGAACCAGAGCTTGGAACAAATGGACTTGGTGGACATATTCAGAGTGTTCCACCCAACCACAGCTCAATAAACATTTTTGTCAGCTGCACATGTTTCATTTTCTAAAATAGACCACATACTAGTGCATGGGTCCTGCTTAAGTGTATGCAAGAAAACAGAAATATTCCATGCATATGATCTGAACACAGTGCAATGAAACTGGAAATAAATGACAAAAGAAACCAGAAAAAACCCTAAATACATGGAAATTAAATAGGTCAGAGATGAAAGTAAACAAGAAATTCAATAATATCTGCAATTCAATGAAAATTCAAGCACAACTTATTAGAATTTATTGGATGTGATGAAAGCAATTCTCGGAAGGAAACTTATAGCTGTAAACTCACACAGGAGGAAAGCAGAATGGGAACCAAAAACACCCTAGTGCTGCACCTCCAACATCTACAAAAGGAAGAGCAAATGAAACCCAGAACCCAAAGACTGGAAGAAATCGTAAAGATTGGAGCAAAAATTAATTCAATTGAGACAAGGAAAACAGTTCAAAGAATTAACGAATCAAAATCTGGATCTTTGAAAGATTAAGAAAATCGATAAGCCCCAAGCGAACCTCAGCAAAAAGAGGAAAGGAAGAATTCAAATACAAGGTATAAGGAATGAAAGGGATATAATCACCATCTTTCACAGAGCGCAAGTTGGTCAAACAATGACTGTGACTCATCCATATGGCTGACACTGACAAAAAAAAAATCTATAAATGGTGGTACAAGGTTTCAGAATAAATCCTGAGTGGATATGACTGATTTTGTCAGATACAAAAGCTTCATTTCTTGTTATGTAGATCTTGCTTCATCTTGTTCTTAACCATCCAGCAGAAAATTATAAAAAGAAGGTATAAAAAGGAAAGCCACATTAATATGCACAGCTGTAAAAGACTCAAGTCAACAATTTCTGACATTGCCAGTCTTATGGAAAACCTACTACTATTATGGACTACTGGACTATATTGGAATATTTTGCTGAATTCTCACACCTATAGTATTTAAATGACAATGGAATAGCCTTCCCTCACAAAACTAATCAAAAGCATGGGACACAAATGAATGACCTTTTTGTGTGTGTATATTCAAAATAATTAAGATAGACATACAGATACTGTCTCTTAATTTCATAAATAGGAAGATTGGTTCTAGTAGTGTTTGTAAACAGGATATCATGTCCACATCTTCTACAGTGAATAACCACTAAGACAACAATATGCAATGTATTAATAACTGAAACTGTCCAACTAGTCGGAATTGAAACTGTCTAATTGCTATTTTTTTCTCATTAGAATTATGGAAAAAACAGAAAAGAATCTCCATCTGTATTCCTTGTGTCAGAAAAGCAAAGCAAAACAAACTAAATGGGACCTAACAAACCATAGCAAAAGTAAACATTGCATCTATCTTCAACCTCTTCCCCTAACTGACAGTTTTCATCCTGATTCTTCCATGACCTGTTTTGGTTATGGCTGGTGAGCTGATGCATGTTATTTTTCTTTCAAGACACAGCGGTCACTCTCCTACAGTGTGGACACTGGGAGATATCAGGAAAAGACCTTAAGTTGGGTGACATTTTTCAGGATCACTTCCTGTTCTCAATGACTGTTGAGCCAAGGGCATATTTGGCTTCTGAGGAATGTCTGTTTCTGCAACTGCCAACACCAGCAGTGCAAGTCTGTCTGTCGCTCCCCTCTGGTCTCTCTCTCTCTCTCTCTCTCTCTCTCTCTCTCGCTCTCGCTCTCGCTCTCGCTCTCGCTCTCTGTCTCTCTCTCTCTCTGTCTCTCTCTGTCTCTGTCTCTCTCTTTTTCTCTCTCTTTCCTTCTCTCTCCTTCTCTCTCCCTCTCCCTTTCTCTATCTTCTTCTATTTTGTTTTTCTTCATGAATGATGAGCACAAGCCCTGTTCATGACCACTCATCACTAGATTGACCTCTCATATGGAACCTGTAGATACCAGAAGAAGACATGGAAATCAATAGAGGTATCTGGAGGTGCAAATGCTCTACTCTTTCGCTAATGGTAAAGCCCACGTGCACAGCAGGAACACCTCACTGCAGAAATCACAAGTGTCCACTGCTGAGATAGTCTCCCTTCAGAATGGTTCTGTATATATAAAAGCCAAAAAAGTGAAAAATGTGGCTCCTCACCATGTCTGTAACACAAAGGCAACAAATTTCATGGTACACGATTTCTTCCTGATACACCCTCTTCACCCTGCACAAAAGATCTGTGCACCTATGTCCCTACTGAAGAATCCAAAAAATCATGGGGCCATTTACTTACAATTTGAAGGAGCATGGCTCTTCCTACTACCCTCCAACCAAACTGTTCTCAAAACTGCACCAGTCCTACACCTGAATGAACAGTTACTCAGGACCGAAACAAGTCTGAATTTATGAGAGATAGTTGCTTAAACCTCCTACTTTGGATATTCCTTTGAAAGAATGAGGGTGTAGCATCTGCCAAATAGCTCACTGCTTGCAGGCGTTTTAAACTGGGGTTTTGATCTCTGGACTTGCCACCCATTCCGCACCCTCGGGTGCATTCAAACAGAGACGCAGACTGTGTACGGTGGTGTGAGCCTGTAATCCCAGCACTTGGGAGTCTGTAAAAAAGAATCGATGTGAGTCCAATCTGGTAGTGAGACCTGGAGCACCCTGTAGACCCTTCCCTAAAATAAAAAATAAAACAAATTAAAAAATGAGGATATAACCCTGGAGACAGGTGATAGAACAGCTCTTAAACAAAGACAAAACAACCGTTTGACCTAAGGAAACTGCGGGAAACACACAAAGTGCAACTCAGTATTTGAAAGATAATTAGATCATGGCGACTGAGACATACAAAGAACTACTGCATAGAACATGAAATAAAGGATTTCTCCTGAAAGGCCTAAGTGAAAAGCTACACAGAAGATTAAGAGTCACCACCTGAAGATGGAATCAGAAAAATACCAGAATGCCAGAAGTAGGGTTAGGAGAGTGAGGAGCATTGCTTGTGAAAATATTATTAAGGAAATCCCGTGATGAAAACTAATTTGAAGATACACCATAGACTTTGTCAGTAAAACCAACTGTGGATTCAGGGCCATTGAGACGTCCTCAGAGATCGCAGACCACCTTATTCAGTAGTGGTGATTGACAAGATTTGCAGAAACAATACCCACAAACAGTTGTACCAAACATACAAACAGAAGGAGAGACTGTAGACCTAGGCTTAAAGAGAAAAAATGCAGTGGTCCATGTAGCCTCCATAGGTATCATGATGCTGAGAAAACACCGTGGGTTATCCATGGACAATTTCATTTTAATATCTAACAAGAATATTGGCAAAAATGACGTGTGTTAGGAATTTGTATCTAGAACACAAAGGCTTTCCCTAGTAGGGTCAGTTGCAGTGAAATCTGGAAAATCTTTTTGAGTTTGAGCAGATTGCAGTCCACGTTGAATTACCACGTGTTCACACGTGTGTTCTCTGAACCTTTTATTTAGGGAGGTGAGCAGACTCGACCTGTATATCATTAACAACTTCAGTGAAGTAGACAACTAGGGGAACATACAATCCAGGTAAATAAATATCTTGTACAATTACAGCAAGAGACATAAAACCAGGTTCCATTTGGACTATGAGATCATTGCCCATCCAAATGCAAATGTGTACTTTTGTATTGGACCCTCAAGGCAGAGTGAAGAGTCAGGACAAAATCACACAACTGGCACACAGGCAGAAGCTGAAGAAGTAATGCAACATCACTCCTAATATCTGAGGATAAAGTGTAGTCCAAGTTCTTTCAATCCTGTGGCCCAGGTCCCGTGGTGAAATGCTTAGAAACAAGACAATGGCAACGTCCTTCTCATCATCTTCTGGGCTACAGTCCAAGATGGAAGTAAGATATGCCAGCCATCCTGGTATTTTATTTGGAAGGGCACACAGCATGGAGGTGAAGGTGCCATTTTTCAGATCCTCTTTATAAAGGAGCTGCCCTGTTTGCCCAGTGCAGACTCAGGAGCAGCTCCACAGCCTCCTTCAAGATGCTGGTGGTCCTGCTGACAGCGGCCCTACTGGCCTTGAGCTCCATTCAGAGCTCAAGTGCAGGTATGAGAAATGGGGTCCTGGGTCACTCAGCTTGGGGTTCAGGAGACCACACTCCAAGGCGGTGAGGGTGTACCATAAGGAGAATTCAATGAAAGGAGAGGCAGGACTATGGAGGTCTTATGGCAAGGGTATGATGACTGAGGCCAGTATTCCTTATCAGGACAATGTAATTCAAGTTACAATAATATCAGCACGAATATAAATTTACTTCTGTTTGACTTTTGAACAGTAAAATAAATACTTTTGTGTTTGCATTTAAATTGTTCTGTGCTGTGAAGCATGGATGGGACTATGAGGGGATTGACACTGGGAAGCCCCGTGGTGGGGATATTTCCAAGTTCTGGCTGCGTGGAGCAGGCTTTCTGCTCGGGTGATTCAGGGCTGATCAGAGATATGGAGCATCTCTAAGAGTTAAATCAAAGAGCCTAAATTTGAGAGCAAATTTCAGTATTGATGGAGTGATACAGGAATATCATGGATCATTTTCTCTGAACCACATACAATATTTCAACATATTTTGAGGTTATGTCATTTGATTCACAAATGCCTCATACTGGTTTAAATTTATGTAAAAGATTTTTAAGTAAACATAGGACTTAATGAAGGAAAACTGTAAGCCAATGAGTAACACGATACTGAAATAAATAGAATATTTAAAAGAATTATCAGTGAAGGGTGATAGAGTCTGAGGAGGACAAAAAGGAAGTGTCTACCAGGTCCTCTTTAAAAGGGTTTGAGATTCAGCAAGACACCTTCTCTGCCACCTATTAAATCTGCTTATATGTCCAACAATATGATCCCAGTGAGGGGCTGGGTGCTACAGAGAGTTCATGTGGGGCTATGTAAGTTGCTGTTTAAAGCCACCTTTCCTTGTAGTAATTTTTTCAGCTCTTACAGGGTGGCAGCTGACCGTGCACCTCATCTGTGCTTTATTTTCTAGAGCTCATCTATGAAGCGTCTTCCTCCCAGATATCAGGTAAAACCAAATTGTTGCACAGTCAACTTTCACTCACTTCCTTCCCGAAGGTATTTTTCTGGCGTCTGGCATCGAATCTTTATCTGTATGTTGGGGAATGGATGATTGCTCCATACCCCTCTAAAAATATAGAAAAAATTCAACACCTGGCATTCTGAGGAGCAGAAGCTAGGTAACCTTGTTCGTTAAGAGAGAGAACTAGTGTCAGAGGCAATGGGCAGAGGGAGGCTCCCTGTGTACTCACAGAGCGACCACTGACTGACGAAGCACTGTGGGGGCTCGCTCATTTTTTTGCTCAGCTCTTCCATGGTACTGGGATTCACTGTATGTCCTCCTTATTTCCTGTGCTCCTTCTTAAGACCATATGGTCACCTGTGACATGCCCAAAAATATGTGGCTATGGAATTTCTCTCTATGTTTCTGCACTCACCTGTGTCCTCACAGATGATAAAGAAGAGGCCACCACCTTTCTGTGAACTCGATATGATCTGTCCCTTCGATCAGAAGGATCTAAGGCTTTTCTCCACCTAGCTTACTCTGCACCTACACCTACTTTCCACAACACACTTAGGCGTCCTGAACAGATTCACTGGCAGAAAATTCACACAGTATTGTGTGCCAACATACAACCAGGAACACAAATGCAATTCATTATCATTTTCTTCACTCTTCATGTCTCAGAAATGTCTCTGTTCACTAAAAGAATCCACGTTCTACTTTTAGCCAAAGGAGAGCAACTACAGTCCCTGGTGGCCATCATTCAGGTTTTCTGCATGACCCACATGTTTTGTGCATGGGTCTAGAGCCACTGTCTGTGGAAAGGCACTGGGCATGAGGGAGAAGGCTGAGAGTGTGGTGTGTGGAAGGGAAGAGTCATGTGACCCTGAGTTCATCAACCGTTGAGCTTTGACCTTTTAGATTTTGGGAACCAACGTCAGGACTCTGCTGAGGAAGTAGACCGGCCACAAGAAAGCACCCCTGGTGATGATGCAGATGAAGGTGATGATGAAGAAGAAGGTGATGGTTCCCAGGAGGCACCACCCAAGCCACCTCCTCGGCCTCCTCAGGGAAAACCCCCTAGACCACCCCAGCAGAAACCTCGTCCAACACCTCCTTCGGGAAACCAGCAGAGACCACCCCAACAAAAAGGTCAGCAACAGAACCGCCCTTCCCGTTCCTTAAATAAACAAGGACCACCCCAGCAAGGAGGAACACAAAAACCACCCGGCCCCCCTCGTCCATGAAATCAGCAGGGACCACCCCCACAAGGAGGCCAGCAGCAACCCAATGGTCCTCCTGCTCCAGGAAACCAGCAGGGACCACCCCAACAAGGAGGCCAGCA